TGAATTGAGGGAGAAGTATGAGAGGGGTTGAGGGGTCACAGGACCTTTTCTCGGGCTCTCACTTTAGTGCTTTCCTCTCTCTGCCCCCTCTTCCAGTCCACAAAACTTTATGTGGTCTGGTCAGGTGAGGTAAAAACTTGCTCTGAACACTAAAGTATTGTTTTCAATTCTGTAGCATAAGGTGGGCATCAGCTTAAAATAAGAGTATATTTTATGTATGGTAAATAATACAGTATGAACAAAAAGTATATAATATAATGCTATAGAGTTAAGAGAATATTTTTAAGTGAGTACAAATGCATTTACTATAAGAAATAGAACATTTTTGGTATCCTCGACTCCCCCTGTGTAAGAGATCTGTTTCTGATCAAAGAGACAGACTCTTCAGATGAAAAATAAACAAAGTTGTTGTTTTTAAGATATTGATTCCACAAGATGCTTAAAGAACCCTATTTGAAATTGACTTTACATCTGCTATCACATGCTTTACTTGATGACAGTAAACTGAGAATGCTGTGTGACAATGACATGAGGAAAAGCGTCATGGGATCAGATGGAATTAAAAAAATTTTATAAAAAAGAATATTACAAAATGTTATGCTAAACACGTTTTGTTTTCACAAAAAGGAAAATCTCACAAAGTAGATCAACATGATGGTGTCTCAACTATTTTATCTCAACTATTATGCCTCATTTTTCCAACAAAATCATGAGTTCAGATTTTCTCCTCTGGTTTTGCATTATCTTATCATTATTATTCCAAAACAACAGCACTCAGCATTACATATAGTGCTCCAGTTATGGTCCAATCATCATGGAAAACAGTGGGAATACTATTTCTCATGATTTGGAAAGTGTACTTCTGTTACTAAGGTCAGCAGCTGGGGAAGCTGTTAAAGCAGCAGCATCATGCAGTTGGATCACTGGGGATTTGCTCTTCCGAAAAACAATATTTCCCTCATTCTGTACTTATATTATGTTTTAACTTAACTGCAAAACCATATAATTAATATACAAATAACATTATTTATACATCATCTATTTTTTCTAGAATTTTACAATTTAATTTGTTAGTACCATTTTGAATCTTGATTTGGACCCTATCATTTTAGCTACTCCTACAAAAATATTTTTCCTAAATTTTTTATTAAAATATTGAATAGAAGCCTTGGCCAGGTGGTTCAGTTGGTTGGAGTGTTGTCCCATACAACAAAAGGTTGCGGGTTTGATTTCCAGTCAGGGTACATACTTAGGTTGTGGATTTGATCCCCAGTCAGGGCAGACCTCAGAGAGGTGGGGGAGGGATGAGATAAATCAAAAAACTTATATGCATGTATGCGTAAACCAATGGACCCAGACAACAACGCTGACAGGGAGGGGAGGAAGAGAAACATCTGTAACAAAAATAAATTAATAAAATTTACACACAAAAAAAATAGGAGGCAACAAAATAATGTTTCTCTCTCCCACCAATGTTTCTCTCTCTTTCTGCCTTCCTCTCTCTTTAAAAATCAATTTAAAAAGTATATCCTTGGGTAAGGATGTAAAAAATAATAATAAAATAAAATATTGAATAGAAAAATGCCAAAGCAGAATATACACTAAATAAATTTAATTAGGTTCATATTCAATTATCAACACTACTTAGAGCTGTTTAACAAGCTTGGAAGTGACTCACTATCACACAGCTCATTGTTTGCTATATTATACAGCAGGGTAACATAGGTGCCTTTGTCAAAACTGCACTTTCATGAAAGCATTCATCAATGTTGTTCTTGAGTCCTCAACTCCATAACCCTCCACATTCAATCAGTCATTAAATGATATTGAGTCTCTTAACTGAACTAGAAATTTCCGGCTCACTACCTTTATTCAAAGCTTTTGCGCCTGGATGAGTAAAAACTTTCTAGCTGTTTTCTTCCAACTCCATAGTCCAATCTCTTTTCCACATAACAAGTCAGAGTTATTTTAACCACATATCAATCTAAACATAGTTAAACTCTTCATGTCAATCTAAACATATTTAAACACTTTATTGCTTTAAAGCCAAGTCAAACTCTTGAAATAGCCTAGCAGGCCTTATAGAATCTGGACATTTTTTTTATTTTTCCAAACTTATCTTTCATCAGCTTCCCTTCCCTACACAAACACAAATACACACACACACACACACACACACACACACACACACACTACTGCACCCTCTACAGCTTGGTCAAATTACATGGGGATAATTTTCAGTCACCCAAAATTGCAATGCTCTCTTGCTTTTTACTGGGCTAATTTATTACCCTCACCTGTCGAAATATTATATTCCTGAGCATCCTTCAGGTCTTGGGTTAGATATCACATTCTCTGAATACTCTTCTCTTACTCCCTCCCACAACATTGGGATTCGGTTTCACTTCCACATTCACATAATGCTCCACAAATGCTCTATCGAGGGTTTATTTTGATATGTTTTAATCACCAATTTATTTAGTTTATTTGACTGCCTTCATTGTAAGATTGTATTCACCTTAGGACTTATTTATAATTCTATAATTATCATAGTGCCAAAGCAGAGTAGGTGTGCAATACATTTTTTAAGACTTTAGACAAGTGGATAAAAAAGCTGTGGTACATTTACACAATGGAATACTATACAACTGTAAGAAAGATAGATCTCTTACCATTTGAGAGGACATGGAGGCACCTAGAGTGTACTATGCTGAGTAAAATAAGCCTGTCAGAGAAAGACAATACCACATGATCTCACTTACTTATGGACTATCATGGACAAAATAAGCTGATCATCAAAATAGATCCAGAGTCATCAAAGTAGGGAACAGACTGACAAACCTCAGAGAAAAGGGGGATTGTTGGGGTGGGGGGAGCAGGAAGAGAGAAACCAAAGAATTTATATGCATATATACATAACCAGTGGACAAAGACAATAATGTGGGGAAGGCAGGAGGGTCCTGGGAGCCAGGAGGAGGGGGTCAATATAGGGTAAAGGGGAGACATCTGTAATACTTTCAACAATTAAGATTTTTAAAAAGAGCAATTTCAGGTTGACAGTGAAACTGAGAGGAAGAGACAGGAATTTCCCATAAATTCCTGCCCCACACATGCATAGTCTTCTCCATTACCAACTTTGTTCACCAGAGCAGTGCATTTGTTACAACTGATGAACCTACACTGACACATCACAATTATCCTAAGTCCATAGCTTACTTTATGGTTCACTCTTGTTTTTGCACTTTCTTTAAATTAGGACAAATGTATAATGACCTATATCAATTATTATAGTATCATACAGAGTATTTTTACTGCCCTCTGTGATTAGCCTATTCATCCCTCCTACTATTCCCTTCCACCCCCAAGTCCTGGCAACCACTGATAATTTTATTGTCTCCATAGTTTTGCTTTTTCCAGAATATCATACAGTTGGAATCGTATAGTATACAGCCTTTTCAGATTGGCTTCTTTACTTAGTAATATACATTTAAGTTCCTTCCATGTTTTTCATGGTTTGATAGTTCATTTCTTTTCAGTGCTGAATCATATTCTATTGTCTGAATATACCATAGATTTTATATTATATACCAAAGAATATATATCAAGAAAAAATATATATATACACACATTTATATATATCAATGAAGGAAGGAGGTATCCTGTATCAAAATGTTCTGTTTCTTGATCACCAAAGATCATTCTAAGACAGTAACTCTGGGGTTTTATATTCGATCCCTGGTCTTATGTACCCAAAATTCTATGTAGATTTTGGTAGAATATCCCATGAGTTTGTGAGCTTCAGATGATAAAGCAGTGTATTTTGAGAAGCCCACGTAGAGAAAGTAAGGATTACACTAATTTGGAAGGCTAAGTAGGATTTACACAGACCAATGAGAATGGGAACAAACTAGATATTTTGAAGAAAAAGGTAAAAGCATAGAGTCTGGAATGCTCAAATATTTACAATTAAATAGAAATTTTTTTAGGAATGTAAATATATCTAATCAAGGTATTTTTAATAACTGGTACAAGAACTGACGTGATGATTATTTTTTGTTTTGGTGCAAATATAATTTTTTCTGATTATCTTTCCTCTTACATGTTCTGGGCAGAAAGAAGACTGCATAGGTAGAATAATGATTCAACTTGATCATATAATAAGATTGAGTCTCTTCAACAAAGACTAATATCCAAGACAGCCTTCTTTCCCAGTGTAACTCGATTCTTCCTTACTACTGGTCTCTGGTCCCTGACAAATTCTCTCTTCTAGGTGGCGAAATATTAGGATGTGTCCTATCTAGTCTTCACACCAATATCTAAATTGGCTGCCAAGAACCACCATGCTATCCAAAACTTTTAAAAAGTACTGGTTAAACCTTTATTATTTTTTTAATTAAAAATCAACACCCTTTGGATTTCAGAGAATGAAAAATTCTTTAATGAGCACTAGTATTAGGGTCACTGTAAAATTTTCAGGAAGGAATTCATCAAAGGATGATATATGGGTTGAAAGAGTCAAGAGAGTTATGAGTTGGATTGCATTCAGATCCTAATGGAGGGTTAGAGCTTGGACAGCCATTGGCCTTCCACCAAAAAGCAATAAGGAAACTACCAAAATTTTTGGAAGTGGATTCAAAGGAGTGAAAAAAAGCAGCCGCTTACCTCCTAATTCACAAAATGCAAAAACTGGGTGGGTTAAGGCTCCCTGTCCTTCTCAGATCAGGTAACCCTATTGCTTGCTCACTCACAACAACTGAGAGTTTTAAATTTTGCCTCCACTTGGGTCATGTGATTATTATTTATGGAGCAGCACCTATACAGTTCATGTTTTACTAAGGTAAAATTAATTAGCAACTGTTCAGAAAGCACTTTGAAGATGAAAAGTTGAGTGACTGTTAAGTTTTATCATTATACTATTATCATAAAACACATAAAAGTCACAGGATCTCGTAAGCTAAATAGATGGAGAATGACTGTGCTGCGTGACACTCGAGGAGAAGATGGCAAAGGAGCAACCTCCGCGGAGGGAGCAGGCATGGATATCCCTGCAGAACAGGTGGGCTTAATGGGGCAAGGGTGGGTGGCAGGATGGCCTGCCATTGCTCCTTGGGTCCACTTTCTGAAGGGACCAAATTAAAGTAGCTTCATTTGTATTTTAAAGTTCTTAAAAACAAGGGTACTCTCAACTTTTTATGTAAGTAAGAGCAATATAAATAACAAAGGAAAAACAATAATGAATAAGATTGATAATCTTTAATTCTTAGAATCTGTCTTGCTTGTGAATTTTTGTGAAAAATCTATCCATCACAATTAGACCATTCATTAAAAGTATGTGTATAATTGCTGAAATTGCTGAAATAAAATTGGGGGATTTTACTTTTAAGAAGGATAATTTCACTTAGAAAATGTAAAGAATACAAAGCTATCTATTTCTAATACTGTATGTTGATGTAGAGACAATACTTGTGCTCATAACATACTATTTGACCTATAGGAAGTGGTAAACAAGAGTTTCGGTCTTAATTTTTATTTATTGAAACACTGCAATGCTTCACTGCTACACAGTTTTAGTGGTATGATTTAACATTATTGTAGTCGGAAACAGGAATAGCAACAAGAAGAGAGGATTTTCTTCCTTCCGTGGGCAGTGCTATATGCCCAGATAGCAATTGGCCTCAAGGAAGTGTGTTTACTGGTTACATAGCACACAGAGATGGGCACATAATTTTTATGTTATTATTCTTAATGTAATCAAACTAACTCACAAATATAAATGTTCACATACACATTACAGTCTTTCTTAGACTTCAGCTAAATGCATGTCTTGATAAACCCTTTGAGCCTGACTCATATTTTTAATAAAAATTTTAGATGACTATTCTGATTTTGATATCTTGCTAACAACTAGACTCTAAGTAAAGAGTATCATATTGAGATGTAACTTTCTGATAAATAGCTTGAATAATGTTATTTTACACATTCACATTAATATTTAGCTTAATCAGCTACAAGAGAACCTCTAAATTCTTTTCCATCAAATTTATTGTTAATGCTTTTATTTAATTAACAAAAAAGCTAGTAAAAATATTTAATCTTGGCTTCCAAGTAATGTGTTCTACATCCTTTATATTAACTTGCTATGCTCCCTTTGCTCTGTAAACAGTATATTAGAAATCAGACCCTGGTTTTGTCCTTTGAAATAATTAATACTTATTTAAGTACAACTCCCCAGCAAAACCACTATTTCTGAAATCTCTCCATAATCCTCAATATCCTTATTATCTAATCATTAGCATACCTAAATGGCTTCAGGATATATTTGGTGAAAAAACATAACACTTTGGAAAAGTAAGGCAAGTTGCCAAAATCAAAACAAGTTGTTTCTATTTCTCACTTTAACTCCATCCCAAGATCTAATTCTCTTGAATAAATAAGTAGTCTATTTTTCCACCAATATTCCATATAGTAACAATTAGAGAAAAATGGAACTTATGTCTGTTTTTAGAGAACATTTTAAAGAAAATAATCTAAATGGTAACAAAGTTGAATTTTCCTTTTGAATTAGAAATATACACACACACAGGAAAAATTTAGATCAATTAAACCCTTTGCAAGTAGGAAAAATATCTGTATCATAGAAAACTCAGGTAAGAATGAAAGAAATAAATACTTAGTTTACCTGCCTTTAAAATTAATTTTTATTTATTATCATAATTTTACATTTACAAATTAAAATGGATAAGTCACTGTCGTGATCTTAGATTTGGGCTGTAAAGTACATAGAGATGCAAGTTAGAGTGGCCTATCTGATTTCATTTTTCTTCTAGAGATGAGGAGTAAACCCTAATCTGAACTCTAGTACCAAACCCTAAATATACTAATAATAACCACAGAAGAAATCATTACCTGGAATCCACATCTTCCCTAGATTTGAAATGGCCTAAAGAGAAAATACTGTTTTACAATTTTCCCTTCTTTAAAATTAGGAAACCAGAATGGTGATTTGCAAAGCTCCTTCCACTTCCAAAAAGCCAGGCATATCCATTCTAGGAACTATATATACATTGGAGGGAAGTACAAAGTCCACAGTACTCTCTGGTAAACAAATTCTGGTACAGAATAATCACTGTGGACTTCCGGTCAAGATGGCAGCATAGGTAAACGCCATATTGCATCCTCCTACAACCACATCAAAGTTACAACTAAACTACAGAAGTACCATCATTCAAAGTCACCTGAAATCAAGCTGAATAAAAATCCTACAACTACAAAATTAAAGAAGACGCCACATGGAAACTGGTAGGAGAGGCAGAGAAGCAACAGGCTGGTCCCACACCCACGTGTGGTGGATAAAAAAAGGAAGATACCTAGGCTGAGAAGGTCCTCCCTGAGGACGGAGGGGTCCCCGTCCCATGCCAGGTGCCCAGTTAAGGGTTTCAGTGCCAGAAAGAGAAATCCCCATAACTTCTGGTTGTAAAACAAGTGGGAACTGAGGCTGAGGGAGGCTGAGGCTGAGGGAGGCTGAGGCTGAAGGTGCCCCAGACAGCTCCTCTTAAAGGGCACGCATATGGACTTACTCGGACTTGCACCCTCCAGGCTCCAGTGTGGGGGAGGCAGCTGGAAAGGCACCAGAGACAAATGGGGAAGAACTGAGTTGTTTGGCATTGGAGCGAGGGCAGAAGAGACAGCTTTCTCCTGGACAGACCTGCTGTCAGAGGCATTTGTTCCTTTGGTGAGCCTTTCACCGGGGCGGCAGACAGCTGCCATATCTGGGACTCCAGCAATCTGGCTCACACTGGTAGCCCCTCCCTGGTGACTCCCTGAGGCCCTACCCCACCCAACTTTCAGGCCCACCCAAGCTGTTGCCAGTTGTTTTACCATAGGATTGACCTTTCTTGGATCCTGCTTCAAGTTTTCCTAAATTCTTTCAAACAAGCAGCATCTGGTCTCAGCTGGCCCCATACCTCTCATTAAGTAATACATAGAAGCAGGCACAGGGAGATGGCCAGAATGAGGAGACAAAGAAACAGGTCCCAGGTGAAAGAACAGAACAAAACTCCAGGAAAAGAATTAAGCAAAATGGAGATAAGCAACCTAACAGATGCTGAGTTCAAAATACTGCTTATAAGGATGCTCAATGAACTTAGTGAGACCCTCATTGAACTTAGTAAGGGCTTTAAGGGTATAAAAAGGATCAGTCAGAAATGAAGGAGGCACTAACTGAAATAAAGAATAATTTACACAGATTCAATAGTAGAGTAGGTAAAGCCAAGAAGCAAACCATAGATTGGGAATATAAGGAAGCAAAAAAACCCAATCAGAACAGCATAAAAAGAAACAAATCCAAAAGAATGAGGATAGTGTAAGGAGCCTCTGGGACAACTTCAATCATGCCAGCATTCGCATGTTGGGGGTGCCAGAAGGAGAAGAGAGAGAACAAGAAATTGAAAACCTATTTGAAACAATAATGGCAGTAAACTTTCCTAATTTGGTGAAGGAAACAGACATATAAGTCCAGGAAGCACAGAGAGTCCCAAACAAGAGGACCCAAAGAGGTCCACACCAAGACACATCATCATCAAAATCCAAAAGATTCAAGACAAAGAGAGAATCTTAAAAGCAGCAAGAGAAAAGCAGTTAGTGACCTACAAGGTACTTTCCATAAGACTGTCAGCTGACTTCTCAAAAGAAACTTTGCAGGTCAGAAGGGAGTGGCAAGAAATATTCAGAGTGATGAAAAGCAAGAACCTACAACCAAGATTACTCTACCCTGCAAAGCTGTCATTTAGAATCGATGGCCATATAAAGACTTTCCCAGACAAGGAAAAGCTAAAGGAGTTCATCACCACCAAACCAGTATTATATGAAATGTTGAAGGATCTTTTTGAAGAAACAGATAAAATATATAAACAAACAAAATGGCAATGAATACATATCTATCGACAATTGAATCTACAAACAAAATGAATAGGCAAAACAGAAACATTCTCATAGATACAGAGAACAATTTGTTGGTTGCCAGATGGGAGGGGTGCTGGGGAAATGGGTGAAAAAGGTGAAGGGATTAAGAAGTACCAGTTGGTTGTTAGACTGACAAACCTCAAAGGAAAGAGGGTGGGGGTGGGAAGAAATAAACCAAAGAACCTATATGTATATATGCATAACTTATGGACACAGACAACAATGTGGGGAAAGGCAAGAAGGGGGTGGGAGTGGGGAGGTGGGGGTCAATGGGAGGAAAATGAGAAACATCTGTAATACATTCAGTAATAAAGTTTAAAAAAGAAAAAGAATCACTGTTATATCATCTACTAGACAAATAAGAAGGAGAAACAATAAATTAAGTTTACCTGTGTATTGATAGGCTGAAATATTGTAAAATTTCTAATATTCAACTTTTTTATATACAAACACAGCATTTTTATATCGTTTAATCTATTAGAAGAACTTGGTTGAGATGAACAGGAAAATATACTTCAAATATTTGCTACATCAAGTTTCACACTCCATTTATCACATTTTCTTTGAAGCTTATTCCCTGGAAAACTGTGTTGAGTAAAATAATACAGACATATACCTGTGGGTATGGAAAAGATTGCTTTAGAATAATATATTCATCTATAGAAAATTAAGTTACCAGGGTTTTACTATGTCATTTTGTCAGTTATCTTTCCCAAAATTTCCAACACTATTTTAGACTCAATAAGTGAGTTGGTCAGATTTTGGAAAAGTGTTTTCCTCTAAATGTTTACATAGTGAGATGTCTTTTAGGTTTTTTTAAAAAAAAATTTTATTATTGACCCAAAAAGTGCAGAACATCATACTTCTATAGAAATAAAAAGGCATTCATTTTATATGCAGGGTACCAACATAGTTTGGACAAAATATATTTAAATTGTCAAAGTTTTTTAAAGTAAAATGAAGTTGCTAAAAAGAGTTAGAGTTGGAAATTTTACCTGCATTGGAAGCTAGTTAATTATTATCTGTTCAGGAAATATCACCTATCCAGGGAATAACTGTTAACTAACTCAAAAATAAATTTCCTAAAAGATATCTAATTCTGCTTGCAAATAAAAATCAAATTAATATAGGTATTTCAAACTGATCAATACTTAGTATAGTCATTTAAATATATGTTGATTGTGTATATTTATATATAAATTAACAATATAAAAACCTGAAATATATTTACAAATTTATGTGCAATATTGTGTGTGTATATAGTATACAAAATATATAAAATAAAATATAAATATAAAGACTTTATATTATATTAATATATAAAATATAAAAATATATATTATGGGCTGATTTTATTCCTCAAAATTTATATGTTGAAGTCCTAACCCCTCAAACCTCACAATGACTGTAGTATTTGGAGATAAGGTCTTAAAAGAGGAAATTAAGTTATGAGGTTATGAGGGTGAGCCCTAATCAAATTTGACTGGTGTCTACAAGAGGAGGAAACTAGGGCACACATATGCACAGAGGGAAGGCCATGTAAAGACAGGGAGACAACAGTGATCTGTAAACCCAGGAGAATGGCTTCAGAAGAAATCAAAGCTGCCAAACGCCTTGATCTCTGACTTCTAGTTCCAAAATGGTAACAAAATAAATTTCTGTCACAGTCTGTGGTACTTTTGTTATGGCAACGCTTACAAACTAGTACAGTATTTATAATAGTATATAAAACAAAAATAATTCTACAGTTCTCACATTTAACATTAGTAATCTTGTACATCATGGCAACCCTAGTCTGATACTATGCACATAGAAAGTGCTATGCTCAATAAACATGAACACAAATTATTTAACTTCTAAAGAGAATTTTCCTCTGATTATGCCAAAGAAAAACATTATTTAACCATGTAGAAACATAGATATATTGGAATAAAGTTGCCTCCCAATTTATAAATAATATGGTAATTTATTCTAAAACTTTTTATTATTGTTATTTTCCTACTCTAGTGCTTCCATTTAATGCCTATAAAAAACTCTATGAGTATGTGAATAATAATGATAAGCCCCCAGAGCTTCTGAAGGCTGTTTTGATTGAGGCATTAAAAAGGCTGACATGAGCCCTAAAATATTAACACTCTAAACGTAAATAGTCTAAATATACCAGTGACAGATATTAACAGGATGTATTAAAAATATATAACCCTATCACATGTTGTCAATAAGAAACTCACTTTAAATATGATAATAAAGGCAGGTTAATAGTAAAGGGATAGATAAAGACCCGTTATGAAGCATTATTCAAAGGAAAACAGGACTGGCTATATTAATATCAGATAAAGAAGTAGACTTCACTGCAATTAAAATTGCCAGAGAGGGACACTGTATAATAATGAAAGAGTCAATCCACCAAGAAGACATAGCAACCCCAGAAGTATATGTATCAAACAAAAGATCAGCAAAATATGTGTAACAAAAATCAAAAGAACTGAGAGAAAAAATTTAAAAATTCAAAGTTACATTGTAGACTTCAGCAACCCTCTCTCAATAAATGTTAAACAACCACTGAGAAAAACAACAGATATAGAATAATTCAGCAGCACTATCAACCACAAAATATAATCAACATTTATAGAAAACCTCACCCAATAACGGAAGAACACATTTTTTTAAGAATCCACGCAACATATGCCAAGATAGATAATATGCAGTGCCATAAAAAAAAAAAAAAATTAAAAGAATTCAAATCATATATAGTACATTTTTCACCTGCAATGGAATCAAATTAGAAATCAAATTTTAAAAAGATAACAAGGAGCGCCCTGGCCGGTTTGGCTCAGCGGTTAGAGCGTCGGCCTGCGGTCCTGAGAGACCCGGGTTCGGTTCCCGCTAAGGGCACGTACCTTGGTTGCAGTTTGTCCCCGGCCCTGGTTGGGTCGTGTGGGTGGCAACCACTCGATGTGTCCCTTTCACGTCGATGTTTCTCTCTCTCTCGCTCTCTCTCTCTCTCCCCCTCCCTCCCACACTCTATCTGAACAAAAAATAGAAAAAAATGTCCTCGGGTGAGGATAAAAAAAAAAAAAGATAACAAGGAGCCCTGGTCAGTTTGGCTCTGTGGTTAGAGCGTCAGCCCACATACCAAAGAGTCGCGGGTTTAATTCCAGTCAAGGACACGTACCTCGGTTATGGTTCAGTCCCTGGCCCTGATCAGGGTCGTGTGTAAGGCAACCAGTCGATGGGTCCCTTTCACACAGATATCTCTCTCTCTCTCTCTCTCTCTCTCTCTCTCTCTCTCTCTCTCCCTGCCTCCCACTCTATCTGAAGATAAATGGAAAAATACCCTTGGGTGATGATATAAAAAAAAAAGATAACAGGGATGTCTCAAAACACTTGGAAACTAAACACATTTCTAAATAATCCATAGGTCAAAGAGGAATACTAATGGAAATATTAAAAATACATTAAAATGAAAATAAAACATCAAATTTCTGAGACATGGGTAGAACAGTGCTGAGGTGGAAAATTCCTTATTAAAAACATGCATTAAAAAAGAGAAAAGGTATCAATAAATAATCTAAGCTCCCACTGCAAAAACCTGGGGAAAAAGAGCAAAATACACCCCAAGCAAGCAGAAGAAAGGAAATAATGAAGAGTAGAAATTAATAAAATAAAAACAGTAGGAAAAAAACCAATAAAATAAAATAATTGTTCTAGGAAAAAAAATCAGTAAAATTGGCAAATCTCTAGGAAGACTAATAAAGGAAATAAATTAAATATCAGGAACTGAACAGAGTCTATATATAGCTGTAGACATTAAAAGGATAAAAAGGCACTACTACCAACTCTATATGCATACATTTGCCAACTTAGACAAAATGGACCAGTTCCTTGGAAAATCACATGAATTCCTATCGACCCTATACTCAAAATATATCCAAACTTCAACCCCTTTTCAGTTTCTCCACCTCTACCACCCTGGTTCAAGCCAACATCATTTTATGCTTGGAATATTGTAATCATTCCTATATTATTGTTCTGTTTCCACCCTTATTCCCTATCATTTATTCTCTGCAAAGTAGTCAGGGGGGTCCCATTAAGAAATTAGACCAGATCATCATAGTCTTCTGTCCAAAAGACCTCTGATACTCCCATTTCACTCAGAGAAAAAGCCAATATGATTAAAATGATGTACAAATTCCAACATGAGCTGGGCCTTGGTAGCTCTGACCAGTCTCTTACCACTCCTCCCCTCCTTCACTGCTACAGCCACACTGCTCTGGCAACATACCAGCATTCCCCTCCCAAAGCCCACTTGCCAAGTTGTTCCTCTGAATGAAACATTCCAGAAATCACATGGCTTGTTTTAAAGTCTGCTTACATTTTACCTTTCAGTAGGCCTAACTTGACTATTCTATTTAATATTGCATCCTGACACCAACACCATCTCACACAGACGCCCACATTTCAGATTTTCTTTACCTGGCTCTACTTTTTTCCCTACAGAGCTTAATATTATTTTACCAGTTATGAATTTTATTAGTTATACTCTTTGTTCACTGTCTGTCTTCCCTCAGAATAATGTAAGCACCATAAGAAAAGAGGTTTCTTTTTCTTCAGCTCTGCTTACCACATAGTAGGACATCTGAAAATATTTGCTGAATAAATGAATTCTGAATTTAGTACTACTATTATTATTCATATGTGCTAAAAAAAAAAAAAATTAGTAGGCCAAATATTATATTCACTTATTCTACATGTTGATTTCCAAGCTCAGCAGTCTACTGAATCCATAATTATTGAAATATAATATACTTTTACACTTATTATCAAATCCGTATTTATTTCTGAGAGAGTTCTATATCTTACTCATATTAATACTTGCTTTCCTGTTCTTTTGGTTCAGAAGAACAGAGTCAAACACCAAAATGAGACTCACAAGGTGTGGAAAGATTACCCTGGGTGTCATAATAACGGTGGCTGCTGCAGCAATCATCGGACTCATTGCTCATTTCATCCCTTATGGTAAGTACTCATGATATCTGGCTTTCTAGTCACATAGATTTAATTGCCCATTATTGGGAAGTTAGGAACTTTGAGAATGAGTAAAAGAAAGGAATAAGATAAGATTATTTGGCAGACATAATTTCTTATGGTTAATAACATTTACTGCAATCTTTGTTCTTAGCAAACTTTGGCTTAGGCCCTGGACGGTTTGGCTCAGCGGTTAGAGCATCCACCTGCGGTCCCGAGAGACCCGGGTTCGGTTCCCGCTAAGGGCATGTACCTCGGTTGTAGTTTTTCCCCGGCCCTGGTTGGTTGTGCGGGTGGCAGCCACTCGATGTATCCCTTCACGTCGATGTTTCTCTCTCTCTCTCTCTCTCCCTCTCTCTCCCTCCCGCTCTACCTGAACAAAAACAAAAACAAAAAAAAAACTTTGGCTTAGGACATTCTGAACGCGGAGATTTGGTATGCTTTTTTTTATTATTACTATTATTGGTAAAGGTTTAGATGCTGGGAGTACATCAATAAAGTAGTCATAGTCTTTCATTGTTGAACTTGTAACTTTTTGAAGAGATAAATGAGTTAACAAACAAACAAAAAAGCCTACAATCTAGAATTCTAAGCTAAGCTTTCTTATTCCAAAACCTATAACTATTCTCTATATGCAATGTTTTCTTCTAATAAAATTCTCTCTGAAAAGTAGAGTATTTTTTCATTAATGGGGGTGGAAAAAAAGAAACAGTACAAATTTTTCTATATATTTTTCATAAAATAGAAAAAAGTATGGAATCCTGAAGTTTGATTTTTCTTTAAAATTACTCTTTGTGCCAAGTTCTTTGTGTCCTGTGCTTATTACTTTCTTTCATCCACTCTTTCCTAACCTTTTCAAGAATGAGGACTTATTTATTAAAAAATAAATTAAAGTTCCTACATTCCCAAGATAATAATTACTTTGTTGAATAAGAAAATACAATAAACAAGTACTGTACACTTAGTAATGCTTTTAAACAAACGTGTATTTAATTAATTACATCTACCTTTGTTTGAAAATCAGTAATACATATATGTGTAAGAAACATTGTTTATTACATCCAGAAGAACAATGCCTGGTATGTATATAAATATTTTCCCCTAGAATTATCTCTGCTGCCACCATGCCCCTATGTTATATAATTCCTGGCTCACAGGTTGGGAGCCACTGCTTTAAAACATAGTATTTTCTCTTTTAAAAAAAAAAAATACATTTAGAAAAGAGGTTGTCTCGCTAAATTAACATCTATTTCAGTTTATAAGGAGAAAAAGATTTAAAATGAAATAAAGTGGTACACAGTAGACTAAAGAGGCCATCTCCCCCAAAACTAAGCATTTACTACTGTCTCTGCTTCATTTTCCATACACACCCTTCCATAGCCTCAGACTGATTGCTTGTGCAAACATAGTCATTAGGTAGATTGTAATGCCAGCTGCTACCCTGACAGACCAAGAGTCATAGTTATAGCACATGCCCTTAAGCCTTTGAACAAAAGATGCTCACTCAAGACACAGACACAGAACTTGCTGTCTTTCATCAAGAGTGTAAACGTGCCAGTAAAATGATATTTGAAGAGGTTAGCTTTGGAGATAGGTAATTTCTAATAACTACCCCGATATGTGAAGAGTGACTTCCCCTTCACATCAAGCTGAGAGATGGGCTTTGAATGAGAGACCAACATGACTCAGAGAAGACCCTTACAGATTCAGGAACACAGTGGACTGAAGTATGGCTCACACCTGGAATATCTAAAGGACAAGTGAGTTGGAGCTTGTTTAGCAGAGTGAAGAGGATGTGGTGCCCTTGGGCAGTTTGAACAACCACAGTCTTTGAGACAAATAATACATAAATGTTTCCTATGGAATGGACCTAGACCACTCAGAAAAAAGCCCCATCATTTTAGGTCCTGTCCAAGAGGCCACCTGGAGTGATAATCAGATTTCAGGTTAAAGAATGGGAAATATCTCCAGCTATCTAAATGCTGAGGAAGAACGAGACTTTAACTGGAAGAGTTACATTTGTCCATGTAAGGGAACTGTAGTTGAGACATGCCCAGCAATGAGGGAAAGCAAATTTCCAAGTTCAGTAAAAACTAGAAGGGCCTTAGTTTTAAACATGTGCTATGTTCCTAGAACACCAAAGCTAGATGCCAAATTCCAGAACATTCAAGTAAGGACCTGGAGGGGTTCAAATCTAGTTAATGAAGTAGGAGAGGAACAGCAGGACAAGGGAGAGGAAGTTTGGGTGGGGAGAACTCTCAACTTCATATCAAGTTCAAATTTTGATTCTTATACAGACCTGGGTATTTTAATTTCTGAATGGAGATATTTTGCGATTAATAGTAACCATAGCACTTTTTATTACTAAAGAACTTTAAAAATTGGTTTATGGTTATATCCTATAAAATATACTTGCTTGAAATACCTGTTTATATACATTTGTGTGTGTGTGTGTGTGTGTGTGTGTGTGTGTGTATTCACCACTTTTGTTTTATTCTGTGGCAGTTCTACACAGATAGTTTTAGTGGGCCTAGAGGAAACTCATCATGTGAGAATGAAATTGGGTTCTAATATATTTAAGATCTCACTGTTGGATTTAGTCATAGTAATACCTATTTCTCAGAAACTAGAAATATTAGTGGGTTATAAATACTTCTATAATTAAGAGAAACAATCCAAAAGTAAATACTTCTGAGTCAGAACAATGAGTAAATTTTGTTAATAATACAAGTTTTCAGAAGTCATAATATACCTGTAGAAACAAAATAGAATCACTTGAGACAGTGTAAAATACTTTGATAGAACTTCCTAAGTCCTAGATTTTCTTTTTCTTTTTCCTTTTAAAGGTCATTAAATGGTTTTTCAACATAAGTCTGCCTAGCTGATGCCATTATATGTTATATAAATTTAAAAAATTAAATCAGAAAGATATGTTTAAGAACATATATATTTGTCACTAAACAAGCAAAATCTCTTTCTGACTACCTAAATTGTATACTTTTTATCCAGATGCTTTGTCATCATGTAGAAGCAGCCTTATGGTGCTCCTTATTTGAATGAAACTTTCAATATCACTTTAGAGTTTCTAGTTTCATTATGCCAGTCTCCAAAGCTGGGAGCAACGAACCATCTTCTCACTAATTACTCTTTCCCTTGGGACAGTAATTACTTAAACAAGATGGTTTGACAAACCAAAGCACAGCACAAATATTCACTCCATAATACCTACCTTTTTCTGCTTCACATGACTCTATATAATGGTAATGTCATATTTTCTATTTAGTTAACATTTTAAGAGATACATAGATGATGGATGGATGGATGGATGGATGGATGGATGGATGGATAGATAGACAGACAGACAGACAGACAGACAGACAGACAGATAAATGGGAGAGAGAACAAGAGCATCTGAAAATATACACCAATTCAACTCAAAAGGCATTTACTGGGTGACTGCTATGTACTTAATGGCATGTACTAGGCTAGGAACTATAATGGGGGGATGACAGTAATGTAGGGAAGCTTCTAGAGCATCACATTAGTCCTTGCACTAAAATTACTCAGTATTGAAAGCAGAGTCAGCATACTTTCCCTGTAAAAGACCAGATACTGGGACTTCCAGTCAAGATGGCAGCGTAGGAAAACACGGTATTGCCTCCTCCCACAACCATATCAAAATTACAACAAAACTACAACACAACCATCATTCAGAATCACCTAAAATCAAGCTGAATGAAAATCCTACAACTACGAAATTAAAGCAGCAGCCACATCCAGACTGGTAGGAGGGGTGGAGGTGTGGACAAGCTGGTCCCACACCTACGTCTGGTGGATAAAAATCAGGAGGGACACCTCGCTGGGAAGGTCCTCCCTGAGTAGTGAGGGGTCCCTGTCCCAAACCAGGCACCCAGATCAGGGTCCCAGTGCCAGAAAGAAAAGTCCCCATAACTGCTGGCTGTAAAACCAGTGGGAACTGAGGCAGAGGGAGGCTGAGGCTGCAGGAGCCCCAGGCAGGTCCTCTTAAAGGGCCCATGCACAGATTTACTCAGACTTGCTCCCTCTGAGCCCGGAGGTGAGTTAGCTTGAGGGGTACCAAAGAACAGGGAAGAACTGGGCTGTTTGGCCTCCAGACAAGGGCTGAAGGGACAGCTTTCTCTAGACAGACATGCTGGCAGAGGCCATTGTTCTTTTCATGAGCCCCTGTCCCACAGGGCAGGTAGACTGCCACCATATCTGGGACTCCAGCAACCTGACTCACACTGTTGGCCCCATCCTGGTGATTCCTGGAGGCCCCACCCCCCACCCAACTTTCAGGCCCACCCAAACTGTTTCCAAAGGCTTTACCACTGGATTGGCCTGTCTTGGATCCAGCTTCAGAGTTTCCTCAAATCTCAAACAAGCAGCATCCGGTCTCAGTGAGCCCCATACCTCTCTTTAAGTGGCCCCAGGACTGGCACTAGAAGCAGCCAGCCTTCGTTCACAACTTGGCTTTTCCTGGACACCTCCAAACCCAGCACAAGAAGCAGCTATCTGAAGATCACTTTGTAGCTTATGCCAGGTGGCCCTGGATAGAGCACAGGCAGTGGCTAACCTTGCCCCAGAGACAGCACACCCTGTGGACAGCTTCAGACAACATTGAGACATAACCAACCAACCACATCCACAAGTGATACACTCAATGAGTAGACTCAGTGGGTACCAGAGCCCTGATGAAGTAAGTCTTGCTCTGTGTGGTGGGCCCCTACACAGCTGATCCTCCAAGGTAGTTAGAGGCCAGTGGCTAGTGCACACAGCCAGTCCTTGCAGCTGATCAGCCTGAGTAAATCCCTCCCATTGATGTGCCATCAGCAATGAAGACTCAACTACAACAGAAGGGTGTACAGTTCACACTAGGGGTGCACCTTGAGGGCCCAGCTGAAGAGATAACAGAGACAGTGCCACTGGATTCTACAGGACACCTACAACAGCAGGCCACCCTACAAAGCCTA